GTTCCTGCACCCCAACTTCGCAGTCAGATGTGACTCTCAGCCAGCCAGTAAAACAGAAGGTTTATTAGATGACAGGAACATGGTCTAACACAGAGCTTGCAGGTGCAGAGAACGGGACCCCTCAGCTGGGTCCATTTTGGGGGCGTAGCCAACAACCACGTCTGCACTTCACTCCATGTCCCAGCCACCCCAAACTGAAACCCCCTCCAGCCCCTCCTCCTCTGGCTTTGTTTTTCCCGCAGGTGGTCACCTGATTCCTTTGTTCTCCAACCCTTCAGCTCTCACCTTGCAGGGGGGCCCAGGCCATCAGTTGCAGGAAACAGGGTGTCATTCTTGTGTCCAGACTCCTGCACACACCTCCCTCTAGGGCTCTGCAATGATCATACACCCTTACTCCACCCCCTAGATACTTAAGAACTGCATAGGGAAACTGAACCCCCACACTATTCAGAGAAACATTAAGAACCGTCCCACTTCGTCACATCTCTCCCCCTTCGAGATCGAACTGAGCGGGGTCACTTTAGGTACCTGGGAAGTTGACACCAACGTTCCCATGGTGCCCCAGCATCTCTCCCATTCCTTGTAGAGTTACACCAGGCCCTTCCAGTTTCCCCCTCCCTTAGGTCAGGGGTGGTCGTAGCACTGCAGGCCATGTGGGAAGTTTATCAGCCCATGCCCTTTGGCCACCCCAAGAATGTCTCCCCATTGACCATCACCTTCTCTCCCACTGAGTCCGGGGCCTGCCCAGGAAACTCCACACAGACATATAGGTTGGGGTCAGAGTGGGAGCTGTCCACATCCCCAACTATCTGGCGCGGTCTATGGCGTTGGGACCCACAAGGGAGGTAGACACGGCTTTTCCGCAGGGTCCCTTGGTTCAAATGCAGCCTGCTCAAAGGCAGTGAGGTGGGCATCCACACACCCCCCTTAACCAGGCACAATTTAGTCTCGGGTTCCTGCGGAACTGGCCCCCGACTATCCCCACTCACCCCGGGGGTCCCTAGCCTCTCCCCCCCACCCCAGTTCATCCTCTCCTTCTGCAGCTCTTTCTGGGCTCTTGTCTCCCAGTCCTCTTGCTCTCTCACTCAGCTCCAGTCCCGTCCGTCTCGATCCCCCGATGGGGAACCCGATTGAAGACCCTCATCTGGTCGGGGTCAGGAACCTTGGGAATGCTGGCTCCCACTCCAGCTCCCCAGATCCTGTATAGCCCCAGTTGGGGTCAGGAATCTGTTCCTTAGACGGTCATCCTCCTCCAGCTGCATGATTAACTGTGCTTTGGTGAACTTTCCAACGCTCAACCCTCTCTTTTGCACAGGGTTACAATGTCCTTCTTAAGGAGAGGTGACGCCATCACCCGCTCCTCCCAAGTTGTTGTGGACTCACGGCCCGTGTGTTCTCAGCTCCCCATGGTTTCCAGGGAGAACCCCTAGTGTGCAGCCCTTCTGAGGTCACCACCTCTTTGCCAGGGTCGAGCTCAACTCCTCCGCCCCTTGACTCTCGCTGAATCCCCAGGGGAACCCTGTTACTGCACGTCCTTCTCGCTGGTACACACTCCCAGGGGTTAACCCCCCCGAAACCGCTCCTCTCTGAGCCTTCAGCAGGCCTGGTCTCGGCAACCCCCTTCGTGTTACTGCTCCCCGTCACTTACTGCAGGAACCATCCACGGGGTCGTACATCCCACCGCTGCCACCAGTTGTCACGGGTCCCTGGGGTGTCTGGAACTGCTCCCCTGAAGCCGTCAGGACTCTGGGGCTCCCTTTCTGCGACAGCCTGTCTTCAGGACACACCTCACACAGCTTCCACCTTCCTGGGCTGATGCATTCAGCATCCTCTCCCCTCCGTCCTTCCCACAGCGAGTCCGCTCAGCGGGCCCTGGGGAACCAGAGGTCTGCACCCCAACTTCGCAGTCAGATGTGACTCTCAGCCAGCCAGTAAAACAGAAGGTTTATTAGATGACAGAACATGGTTAACACAGAGCTTGCAGGTGCAGAAACGACCCTCAGCTGGGTCCATTTTGGGGGGTGACACAACCACGTCTGACTTCACTCCATGTCCCACCACCCCAAACTGAAACCCCCTCCAGCCCCTCCTCCTCTGGGCTTTGTTCCTTTCCCCGGTGGTCACCTGATTCCTTTGTTCTCCAACCCTTCAGCTCTCACCTTGCAGGGGAAGGGCCAGCATCAGTTGCAGGAAACAGGGTGTCGCCATTCTTGTGTCCAGACTCCTCACACCCTCCCTCAGGCTCTGCAATGATCATACACCCTTACTCCACCCCTAGATACTTAAGAACTGCATAGGGAAACTGACACCCCCACACTATTCAGAGGAAACATTAAGAACCGTCCCACTTCGTCACATAGCTATTGAGCCCCGTCCCCCGGGCGCTCCCCTCACGCCTGCTGGGGCTCCCGGAGCCGGCGACATGCAGCATGGGGGGAGTGACCGGGGGGGGGGGCGCATGGATGGACGGATGGACACACCCCTGCACCAGGCCAGGGAGGCGTCCAGGGTTGCAGAGCAGCCGGCCCTGGACATGGGAACAAGGGAATGAAACCCACAGGCCCAGGGAAGGCGGGAGGGTGAGGCTGGCATGGGGCTGAGCACAGGACACCCTCCAGACCAGAGCCAGCACCTGGACCAAGCACCCCTGCAGCCGGGCCCTCCCCCGCAGGCACTCACCCCCCCCCGCCCGCTCCCCTCCCCCGGCAGCCCCCAGACCCCACTCGCTGAGGCTCAGAACTGGGGGGGGGGGGGGGGGGGGGAGGCCTCCTCCCTGCCTGGCGCCCAGCCTTGAGCTTCTGCACTCACTGGGCCAAATCCCCCAGGGCGTAACCCTGCTCCGGGCTGGGTTTGGCTCCTGGGCGATTAGTGATGAGGACGGAGCCGGCTGCGCGGGCTGGCTACAAAGGCGGCGCGTGATGGGGGCAAAGGGCCAGCGAGCACAGCGCTATCAGCAGTGCCCAGGAGGAGACAAGATGAGACGGCGCCCGAGAATCCGCCGCAGGCCCGGACCCCGCGGGCGAGACTCATTACAGGGCCTTTGAAGCGGCCTGTCAGTCACCAGCGCCTTCATCCCCAAGGACGGGCGGGCGCCGAGCGCCGCCGGGGACAAAGGCCCCGAGAAGCCAGGGCTGCAGCTTGGCGCAGGCAGCAGGGTGGGGGCTGATGGGGCTGGATCTGAGTACACATGGGGGAGGGCATTCCCAGCCAGGGGGCTCTGAGCACAGGGCGCTGGGGGTATGTGGGACCGGAGGGGGCAAAGTTGGGGGGCTGTATAATAAGTCCCATTTCTTGCTCGCTGTCTAGGTCTGCTTCCTCTCTGTCTGTCTTAGCTGCAGGACCCGCTACTGCAGTTGTATTAATGGGTCACATTTCTAACTCCCCTTTCATCCCAGACTGCTTTACAGATAGAGGGAACTGGTCACCCAGCACTGAGCTGCAGCTGCCTCTGGGCTGGGGCGTGGGGGCTAGTTAAACAGGGATTCCTCGCCCGGCACCGAGATGCAGCTGCCTCTGGGCTGGGGCGTGGGGGCTGTTTCACAGCCAAACAGCAACGCTGCCAAGAGTTTTACAGGAAGTGGCAAATCCTGTATCTAACGAAGCCTGTTGGGGCGGTTTAGGGAGGGCGAAGGGCACACCCCTCACTGAGATTTGGCCAGGACACCAGGGTTCACACCCTGCCACTCACTGAAAAACCGCTCAGACTGTTGGCCCTCCCTGACAGGGGCTGGTGATGAGAGGACTGTACCCCAAGATGGGCTAAAGGGCCCCCATAGCTGGAACGAACCCTCCACGGGAACAGCCTGGTGCTCCTCCCCCCCACCAGAGCTTCTGCCCAGAGCACAGGGAGGAGGGTGTATGGTGGGGGTCAGGGAGAGGTGGGGGACTTGGGGGTAGGAATTGCGGGGTGCTGGGGGACCGGTTCCAAGCTCTCTGCTCGGCCGCTTTCTGCAGCTTTGTTTAGAGCTTTGCAGGCCACACTTTGTCCAGCGCAGAGGGGGCGGGGTGGGGCAGACAGGGATCACCTCTTCACCCCCATTGAGCAACCAGACCCCTGGGAAAGGCCACTCAGCCCCCTCCTTCCTTCCAGGGGGTTGAGCCCCAGGGGCGTGGTTAGCCGAGAGGGGCCAGCATAACCCCCTCCCTCCTGGCACCGGTGGGGCTAGCGAAGCTGCCTGGGGAGGTTCCCCCCCACACATGTTGGCCCACCCTGGTCAGGGCACCTGGGCATGGGCCTCTGCACCAAGGGGGGCACTGAGCCAGTGCCCAGCCCCAGCCCCACCCTTTGCGTGCAGTGACCCAGGCTCAGGGCCCGGGTACAAGGCCATTGTAAATACTGAGAGGACGGGCGGCTGGCCTTGTCCCTGCCCCAGCCATGCCAGGGTGCAGAGCGTGCGGCTGCCAGGCTCGGCGTGGTCCCTGCCCTCCCCCCGCAGCCCTCGGGGGCTGCCCCAAGGCTGGTGCATCCGGCAGGCTCAGCGGTGCGGGTCGTGCTCCTGGCTGATGAACGGTGTCAGGTCAGTGTTATTGTCCGGCCTGCCCGTCGGTCCAGGCTCTTCCTGCCAGGGGCCCAAGTGCAGTGCCCAGCACTCGGCTGGGGTCCCGCCCCTCAGGGCAGCGGGGGTAAGGCCCCCGCACTCGGACTGAGCTGGGATCCCCCGCCGTGCTGGGCTGGGCGAGCCATGCGCTAGGCCCCCCCGGGGCACCCGAACGAGCCCTTCTCGGAGCTGGTGGCTGGCATTCCAGCAGCCGCTGCCTAGCTGCCGTCTCCCACCAGCTGACCCTTCTCCAGACACCGCAGCTGGGATCCCCACCCCCCCGGGCCGCAGCTGGGACCTGGGGAGGGAGGAATATTTGGGGACAGGCCAGCGGCTCAGCTCCCATTGCCAGGACCCGGCCAGTGGGGGGCTGCGGGCCAGGCCAGGCTGGAAGGGGTGCTGTGTGGGGACAAGGAGGCTGGGTACTCGGGGTCTCACCCCTTTATCCCCCCTGGCCCTCAGGAAGCCTGGGCACCGACACAGAGGAGCGGCTGGTTGAGCACCTCCTGGACCCGTCCCGCTACAACAAGCTGATCCGCCCGGCCACCAACGGCTCGGAGCTGGTGACGGTGCAGCTCATGGTGTCGCTGGCCCAGCTCATCAGCGTGGTGAGTTTGCTGGGTCTGCAGCACAGTGCGGGCCCTGGGCAGAGACCGGGCGCTGGAGGGGTGGAGGCACTTGGCATGGGGGGGGGGAGGGGGCTGGGCACAAGGGGCTTCCTGGGCTGTGCTGAGCGTCTGTCTCTCACGCCGGTCACAGGCCGTAAACACCCCCGTCCAGGCACCTGCGTGTGCAGACCCACCACCTGGGGACACCCCCGTGCGCAGGGAGACGCTGGCTTGCTGTGCACGCTCCTGCCTGTGCCCGCGGGGGGACGACGGACGGACGGACACGCACACGCTCCCCTACGTCCGGCCCAGCGCTGCGGCTGGAGCACCCCTCGTCCCAATCCCCTCCCGGCGCTCCCCGCCCAGCCCGCTGCAGCGGGGACTGTGGCTGAGCTGCCCGCGCTGGGGGGGGATGCGGTTTGACCTCTCCGAGCTCTCTCTCCTGGCTGCCCCTACCCATAGCGGCCAGCCCCAGCCCTGCCCCCTGCGCCCACGCCATGCTGAGGCCTGGGCCTGGCTCCCTGCTGCTCCCGACCCTGCTAACGGGCCGTGGTTCTGTTTGCAGCACGAGCGGGAGCAGATCATGACGACCAATGTGTGGCTGACGCAGGTGAGACGCCTGGCGTGGGGCCCAGCAGAGCCGGGCAGGGTGGGGGTCACCCCTTCCCCCTGGACAGCTCACTCTGCCCCCACCACGCTGCATCCCCCCCATGCCCTCCCCCCAGCCTCCTGCCTGCTCCAGGAACGAAGCGGGGGAGGGTCCCGACCCTACGCCAAGCAGGACTCTCCCCAGCCAGCGCCCTGGCCCCTGGGGGGTGGGGTGCAGGCCCTAGGGCGGAGGGAGCCCCAGCCTGGGGTCCCTCCCGTTGGCCCAGAGCTGGGGCTGCAGAACCTGGGCCAGTTGGGCGGCAGGGGCAGGGCCGGGGAGTTGGGGGGCAGGGGCAGGGCCGAGCCGGTTGGGCGGCAGGGGCGGTTGGGCAGCAGGGACAGGGCCGGGCAGTTGGGGGGCCGGGGCGGGGCGAGGCCCGTGCTGAGGTTGTGCCGTGCTCTCCGCAGGAGTGGGAGGATTACCGCCTCACCTGGAAGCCAGGGGACTTCGACAACATGCGGAAGGTGCGCCTGCCCTCCAAGCACATCTGGCTGCCGGATGTCGTCCTCTACAACAAGTAGGTCCCACCCCCAGGGTCCCACCCCCCAGTGGCTCCAGACTCTATCCCCACTCACTTTGGCTGAGGGTTCTGCCCAGGGTGGACTTGGCCCGATTTGTGGGGGAGCCTCAGGGGTGAGACACGGGTCCCCTGTGGGAAGAGGCAGCATCTTGTTCCCCCGCTTCCAGCCGTCCCAGATCTCAGCAGCTCCACCCAGGCCCACAGAGGAGCTGTAACTGCCCCCCAGGAGCTGGGAACCCAGTTGGGTGTTTCCCACCTCTACCCCCAGGTCCCGGTGGCTGTTGCCTGGGGAGACGGAGCCCGGCTCCACTGGGCAGGACAGTCCTGGTGGGGCGTGACATCCCTGCTGCCTCACGGCCCTTCTCCTGCTCCCCAGTGCCGATGGGATGTACGAGGTCTCCTTCTACTCCAACGCGGTGGTCTCCTACGATGGCAGCATCTTCTGGCTGCCCCCGGCCATCTACAAGAGCGCCTGCAAAATCGAGGTCAAGCACTTCCCCTTCGACCAGCAGAACTGCACCATGAAGTTCCGCTCGTGGACCTACGACCGGACGGAGATCGACCTGGTGTTGAAGAGCGACGTGGCCAGCCTGGACGACTTCACGCCTAGCGGCGAGTGGGACATCATCGCTCTGCCGGGGCGGCGGAACGAGAACCCCGACGACTCCACCTACGTGGACATCACCTACGACTTCATCATCCGCCGCAAACCGCTCTTCTACACCATCAACCTCATCATCCCCTGCATCCTCATCACCTCGCTGGCCATCCTGGTCTTCTACCTGCCCTCCGACTGCGGCGAGAAGATGACGCTCTGCATCTCCGTGCTGCTGGCCCTCACCGTCTTCCTGCTGCTCATCTCCAAGATCGTGCCACCCACCTCGCTGGACGTGCCGCTGGTGGGCAAGTACCTGATGTTCACCATGGTGCTGGTGACCTTCTCCATCGTCACCAGCGTGTGCGTGCTCAATGTGCACCACCGCTCGCCCACCACGCACACCATGCCGCCCTGGGTCAAGGTGGTCTTCCTGGACAAGCTGCCCACCGTCCTCTTCATGAAGCAGCCGCGCCAGAACTGTGCCCGCCAGCGGCTGCGCCGGCAGAACCAGGAGCGGGCCAGCAGCAGCTGCTGCCTGCGGGAGAGCGCCCGCTCCTGCACCTGCTTCGCCAACCAGGCCACCATCAAGAAGCTCGGCGTGGGGGCCGGCCGGCAGGTCACCGAGGCGGCTGACAGCGCCAATGGCTACCGGGAGCGGCAGGGGCAGGCCCCGGCGCCCAGCCAGAGGTGCTGCTGCGGGGTGGAGGAGGCGGTGGATGGGGTGCGCTTCATCGCAGACCACATGAGGAGCGAGGACGAGGACCAGAGCGTGAGTCGGGGGAGCTGGCGGAGGCAGAGAGGGAAGGGGGGGCGTGTGTGGGGAAGGGGGGATGGACACGTCTGCGTACGAGGCTGTACAGGTGCACAAGCCCCCGTGGAAGGCTGCGTGGGTGCGTGTGGCTGCACACACAGAAGGGATTGTGTGCCAGCCGGTGTGTATATATGTACAAAAGCACACGTGTCCCTGGCACTGCCCGCCCCAACCCTGTGCATGTCGCTTTCTTTTGCTGGCCCCGCTGCTCTGGAGCTGCTGGTCAGGGCCTCTGCGCCGTGAAGTGATACCTGGGTACGCGCGTGGCCATGCAGGGTGGGCTCAGGCCTGGGCACGGAGCAGTCCTGCCCCAGATGAGCTGGGCTCCCCCTGCCCTCTTTGCTGCCAAGCCTCGGGCAGAGACAGGGTGGCAAACCCGCCTGCTCAGAGCAGGTCTCTGCACCGACCTCTCCCCAACTGTGATGGGCAAAGTTCATCCCTGGAGTCAGTCAGGGTCCCCCAGGGAGGTGGTGAAAGCGCTGCACCCCCTGCGCATCACGGTACCCCAGGCAGTACAACAGCCTCCTTCGACTCCCGCGACCGTGGGGTGGACCCTGTGCCCTGGGGTACAGCCCCCTCAGGCCCAGCTCCTGAGTAACTGCAGGGGAGACCCCCCAACTTCCACCCCTCTGTGTCAACCATAATTCACCTAAATGTTTGCACAGGAGCACTGCCAAATTCCCACGAGCCCTGCAGGGATAAGCAGCGAGGTGCGCCCACGCCCGATCACCCTGCTGTGCTGTGCTTGGAGGCCTGGAGGGAGGCGACCTGCGCAGGGCACAGCTTTAGTGCCAATGGGGCGGCAGGCAGAGCTTCGCTCTCCTCCAAGCCCGGCCTGCAGGGCTGGCGGGAAGGAGCCGGCCCTGAGCTCTCAAAGCAAATGGCAAGGTCCAAAATCAATATCCTCCTTCTGCTCCGCTGGGTCCCTGTGTCGAAGGCCCATGAAATATTCATGGGAGATGCAGGCAGGGGAGGAGGCAGGGAAGCTGGCTGTCTCTCCTTTGTGGGGGGGGAGCTGGAGCCAGCTGGTGGGGGATTTCTGCCAACACACAGAGGGTGGGGGGCTTCTGAAATGCAAATGTGCAAAGTGCCAGGGTAACCCTGCGGCTGGATTCCAGCAGGCCCAGGCCCCCGGCCCCCCTCCCTTCTTCCTGGGCCTTGCCAGACCATCAGCACCTGCCCCAGTGAGTCACTCCCGCACGCAGCTGGAGGGGGTCAGGCCCCAGTTTAGGAGTTGCTATAGTAACCAGAACAGTCTCATTTGAGAGCAGCCCAGCCCGGGTCAGGACTTGGGCGGCACCAGGAGGCTGCAGGTTTTGGATGAGGGGTGCGTGGGAGGGCAGGACAGATCCGGGGAGGGAGGCAGCCGCTGCTCTAGGCCCAGCTCAGAGGGGCACCGGCCCGTGTCACAGCACGGTGCCTAGTCTGAGATTCTGGGATTTGGGGGAGACGCAGGTGGGCCTGGCCTGGCAGGGGAGCTCTAGGCACCTGCGGCTTTGCAATGGGAGGTGGGATGGAGGCACCTCGGGGGAGACGCGTGTACGAGGGTAGCCCGGGGTGCGTGCGCTGCAGGTGGGGAGCGTGGGGCGTTGGCAGAGCGGTGGGGTCGGGGTGCTAGTGTAGCCCAGGGGTTGAGTTCCACGGCCCTGGAACGATCCCGACTTTACAGAGGGGAACCAAGAGGCCTCGCCAGGGGAAGTCACTTCCCAGAAGTTACGTGGCAGGTCCAGGGCAGAGGTGGCACTGCCCAGAGCTACACAGTGCCAGAGCCAGGCCTAGAGCTGAGGCCACCTGCTCCTGCCACTTAGCTGCACTCCCCCTGCCTAGGCCTGGTTCGCCGTTAGCACCGAATCCAGCCCTGGGGAGGAAGCTGCTGGTCCCAGGGCCCGGGGGGGAGCGAAGGTGAAGGCTGCTTACCAGCCTCCTCTTGTGCCCGCCTCCAGGACAGGCTGATTTTCGGGTCTGGCCGCGATTTCTCGGCAGCAGGATTCATTCGCTGCCTGCCCCTCTCCTGAGCTGTGCTAAGGCCCCACCTGTCGTGTCTCAGCCAGGCTCCCTGCGAGGCCAGGGACAGAAATGAGAGCACGATTCAGGCATGAAATTGCTCCCTCCCAGATCCATAGCAAGAGGGGAAAGCAGCACCGAACTGGTGTGTCTGCCAGGCCTCAATGCTGCTGTACGGGCAGGGGCGAGACAGCAGCTGATGCAGCCTGCACGGAGCAGGAGGGAGCCACTTTCAGATCCGCCTGTGGGGCAGCCCCGAACCCCCACCAGATAGAGAGGTGCCCAGAGACCACGATGATGGGGGCACCAGAAAGGCCCTGGATCCACGGGCTGCTGTGCGAGCTTCCTGAGAGAGGAGTGGGCGATCGCTGCACGAAGCCTGGGGCAGGCAGACACAGCAGGCAGAGCACAGAGCTCTGGGGGCCATTCCCCACTCTCCTGCCCACCGCTCCGTGCCGAAAGCGGAATCTCAAGGTCTCTGGGTTGAGAACCCATCTGTGGCCCTAGGCCTGCCGGGCAGAGTCTGAGGCCATCACTGCACCAGCTGGCTCGGAAGCAGAGGTGACAAGCCAGCCGGGGGGCAGCAGGCCTGGCCCTGGTGCTGGGCTTGTGGGCCCAGGTGGGTTGAGGGGGAAGGAGGTTTGGCAGGAGCGACGGTGGAGGCTGGACTGGCGCCCTGTAACCGCCCTGTCCTGGAGTCTCTGCCTTTGCTGGGACTGAAGCTCCTCAGCCACACACAGCTTGGCCACGGCCCCATTTCCTCGCCCCGCCTAGGTTCAGTGTGTGGGGTGGGATGGCCGTGCCCCGGATTCTGAACGCGCCGTCTCCTTCCAGGTGAGCGAGGACTGGAAGTACGTGGCCATGGTGATCGACCGCCTCTTCCTGTGGATCTTCGTCTTCGTCTGCGTCTTCGGGACCATCGGCATGTTCCTCCAGCCACTCTTCCAGAACTACGCCACCAACTCCCTGCTGCAGCTCAACCACGGCCCGCCCAGCTCCAAATAGGGCTGGGGGAAGGCAGGCAGCCCTGCCCCGTGTGTGCGGAGCCATCACCCCCGGGAACCTTCGCAGCCACATGGCAAAGACAGCGGCCTGGAACACGTGGCTGGAGCACGCCGCCCTGGGGGGTTCCCGGGGCAGTCTCGGGATGGGGGTCTCAGGGCCTTGCTGCTGTTTTCAGTGCTGCCTCCACCCAAGGGCATCCTGGCTCCCGCTGCTGGGGCGGCTCCACGTCTGCCCCATTGAGAGCAAAGCCCCAGGAGCTGACGGAGGAGACCGGCCATGAACCGGGAGCAGCTCTCAACCCAGACCCAGGCAGGGTGCAGCTCGAGGTACCCCAGCCCTTCCTGGGAGGCATGGGACTGCTCCAGCAACTGCACTGGGGGGGTCAAGGAGGGCTCCCCTCCCCCCAGAGGTTAGTGAGGCCAAACGATCCCCGCAGTAACAAGGCATGAGTGGAGTGGGGTGGTTGATCTCTGCTGTGAAGTCTGCTGCCAGGGTGGCTCGGTGCCATCCAGTCGCACGCAGCAGGGGCAGGGCCGGCGGGGGGCGCTCCAGCTCAGCACGGCAGGGCCCAGGCACCATCTGGGGGTGAACGGGCCCCAGGCTGCAGTGAACTGTATCCCTGGAAGCTGGGGGGGGGGGGGGAGGGTGCGCTACCATGGGCGGTCTCAGACATCAGTTGCTGTTTCCAGTGTCACCGCAGTCCAATAAATAATCACACGGACACCGGGCGGGGGGGAGGGGGGGGAGATTTGTTTAAAACCTGGTTTAATTTGACCCCCCTTTATTTCTAAGGCCGTCTCCAGAGCAGGGGAGCGGCAGGGCCGGCAGGGCACAAGGAAGGGCTGCAGTTCTCCAGGTGTGCTGGGAACTTTAATGCAGCGGGGGAAGGAGAGATCTGACCCCCTTAAAGGCAAAGACCTGGGACAGTGTGGACGCAGGAGCGAGCCCTGCAGGGACAGGCCGCCCTGGGCTGAGCAGCCCCCCCCCCTCCCCCCCCGTTCCAGCTGAAACAATCAGTCGGGGGCAGAACCGTGGGTCAGGCTGGAGCGAGAGCTCAGCGGGTTGCTGGGCCCAGGGATCGCCAAGAGGAGCAGCAGCATCCCTTTCTCGTTGCGATTTACATGCTGTTCAAGCCGAGCCAGAGTGCAGTGCCCCTGGCCCTGGCCGGGAGAGGTCTCGTGCCGCTGCAGATCACGGTCAGTGCTGGTGGAAGATGTCGGTGAGACGTGGGCGCGACCGTGCAGCGAAGCGGGATTCCCCCAGTGTCACAGAGTGTGTAAAGTGCATCGTGCGGGCTTAGTGCTGCGAGGCAGCGCACTGGGCAAAGGGGCGCCCGTTTAGCTGATGGCACTGGGACCTCCATAGAGCCATCTCTCCATATTACAGCCACGAGCCAGCTGGATCGGGATCCTTGCAGAGACACCCAGGAGTCCCCCGTGGCCCACTGCTCTGCTCCTCCTCTTTTTAGTTTCCCTCTGCAAGACTCCAAGGGTGGCTCATCAGATCTCCGTATAACTGTCAGGCTGTGGGTGAGAGATCCCAGGGCCTGTTCCTTCTGACAGAGCCCTCGGCCATTCCCTCACGGGTTCCAGCTCTGCTGGGGGGCGAGAGGCAGCAGATACACCCGTAGCTCGATTAGATCATTATAAACTGTGTCCAGGCCCCTGCCTGGTGCCCTGGAACTGCTGAGGATAGGAGTGGGGTGGAGGGAGGTGGACAGTGCATGTGCAGAATGGAAACCCAAGGCCAGTGCCACGGTCCCTGGGCAGGCAAGAATTAGCCTCCTGGGTGGAAATTTTAAATCAAACATCTCCTATAAATAGCGTGAATCCTCCAGGCTGCTTGGAAGGGCACCACGGAGCAGACGGACAGGCTGAGCACGTCATGCTGCTGCAAGTCTTGCTCTGTAAACAATCGCAGCCAGGAATTTCTCAGCTTTTCCCCCGGCAGGCACAAAGGGTCCTGGCCTGCTCCCGAACTTCTGACCGCTGGTAGATTGCCACTTACACTGCACCCAGCTTGGCCCCCGGGGGAAGCGGGAGTAGATTTTAGTGACATTTCAAATCAAAAGATGTTTGAGTACGAAGCGGCCACGACAGAAGAGCCCCCGCGGGCCGGAGAATGCCGACCTGGCTGCTCAGCTGCCCACGGAGCGCTCAGGATCACTGTCCCACCTGCCGGACATCTTCCCCGGGCTCTGCTGCAGAGCGGCTCAGGGACAAGCCCTCTCTCCGCTTTGCACGGTGGCAGAATCCAAAGTCCTGGAGACCAGTCAGAGCAGAGCTCTGCAATGCCAGGCTAGCGTTCGGGAGCGGGGTGGCTCAGAGAGGGAATCCAGCCCAACCTTGCATGCAGCACCTTGGCCCATGCCTGGAGAGAAAAGGCAGCAGCCCTGGGCAGCCCGGTGGGATGCTGCCTCCATGTGCCCTAGGCTGTTTCAGTCAGACTGGATGCAGGAAGACAGCTCCCGTTCTCTGCCTACTCCTACCCCTTCGCTTTAAACAGTGGCTCAGTCACGCTCTTGGGTTCTGCTTCTAACTCCCCCGCCCAGACACGGGAGGGAGCAGTACCAGGCCTGTACTCACCGGGTACGTAACAGGGTCCCTTTATGGCAGGGCAGGGTGAGCTCTGCTCGGGCACTGGCTGGCTGCTTTGAAGGAGTCTCTTTAGCCCCTTTCGGCCATTGTTTTATTTTTTGCATCATGTTTTCACCGAGTCATTGACAAGTCCCCCTTTGCTTAGCTTTGAAGGCACCCGGTTTCCCAGTGGTTACAGTGGGACCCTGTGCAGCCACGAGGCGTAACCCTACCCTGGAGCAATAGCCAGGGGCCCTGCAGGCGCCTTCTGCTCCAGCTGGCTGCAGCCAGGAGCTCCAGGCCTTGGCAGAGTTTTGCTGTTCTCCTCGGTTTTCAAAATGGCCTAAGCGCCCATCACTGGCACTATACCTCGCAGGCCTGGTCCCCAGCGCCGTCTACTGCTCCGAGCGAAGCGAGAGCCAGCGGTGCTCCAGGAAGGGGCTGTACTGTTCTGACATGTAATAAAACTGCTCTTGGGCAGGACAGTCTCTGTCTGAAATAAGCTTGAGCTCAAATGTAACAGCAGCAGCCTGTGCTATGGGGCCCGCGCTGGGCAGATGCTGCCCTCCCAGTGCTCCCACGGCCCTCCCAGCCTCTCTCCAGTCGCCCTGTTAACCAGGAAGGTAAGTCACAGCCACGGCACCTTGTGGATACATCCTTTGAGTGGAGCACATTAGCAGCACACCTGGACTTTGAACCCACAGGGCTGCGACTCACACGGTCAGAGCTGTCTGGTCAAGGGAGCTCCTTCAAGTCTAGCTGGGGGGCTGCCTGACAAGGCTCCATGCCCCCAGGGCCCTGGGCTTGCCCACTCTGGCACTGCTCCGGGAGCTAGAGAATTACTCCCCTCCTCATCGGGAGGGGGAAGCCCAACTCCTCAGCCAATCCCCAAGGCAGCCAGGCAAGTTTAGGGGCAGATTGTTAATGTGGAGGATGATTAGCCACTGGAACCAACTACCAAGGGGAGTGGTGGAGTCGATCTGCTGAGGGCTTCAGATCCAGCTTGACATGTGTTAGCCGGACACAAGTCACTGGGCGCAATACGGGAGCACTGGGGTGAAATTGCCTGGCCTGTGTCACCCAGGAGGTCAGACTGGATGATCTGATGGTCCCTTCTGGCCTTTAAATCTATGCATCGCCAACTGTCTCTCCTTTGAGGAGGCGGCGGGGGGGTGGTGGTGGTGGGGGTTAGGGGTTATTCCCTTGCTTCAGCACAGCTGGAGCTACGCAGGTAAGTGCCCAGGGATGGACAGAAGGGTGCCCCTCGCTCCAGGGATGGCAGAGCAAGCCGGGGCCAGGGACAGCATCACTTCAGAATTCACTCGAGAGCTTTGAGGGGGGAGAGATTTAACCTGCCCCTGCAGAGCTGCTGCTCAGCACAGACCACCCCCGTCCGGGGGCAGAGCCCCACCTGGTTAGGAAATCAGTGCGGGACATGGTTCAGCCGTCAGCACTTTGTCCAGCTGACGATCAAATAACTCCATCGTTTCTCTTCTGAGCGACTCCATCTCCATGCTCGCTGCCATTTAAATTAACACCAGCTTTGGCCCCACTTTTCATCTCCCAGGAATTAAAACCACCCACAGAATGGAGCTGTCTAACAATACAGATTTTTTTTTAATTTTTATGCGGAATGTTAGGACTTAAAATCATCGATATCGAGGGGCCCTTAAAAGCAGACTTACAAAAATTAAAATAAAATAAAAAGGAGGGTTACAGTTCTCCCATGAATAAATGTACATTTGTGTCTACTCAGCTCTCCAGAGCCAGTGTGACAAGAGAAGGAATCTAACATTACAGAAAAGAAAGGGGAGTGTGGGTAGGACAAGTTTGCAGGAGACAGTCCCCAAATGATGCACAACAGGAATTGCTCTGACCCACTGACAGTGCAACTAATTACAAATAAAATAAATGGGGGCAGGGTGGAGATAGCACAAGGAGATGCCAGAACTGCGGAGTAAGAACAGGTCTGGGTCTCTTCAATTACTTCAGAGGGGCAGGCTGCCCCCGGCCTCGCCCCCAGCCTCCCGCACTGCAACGTACACCCCACGCAGCACCTGACCGTTCAATTCCGGAGCAATCAATTCGCCCCTTCTCCCAGGGCCAGGCTAAATCAGACTAGCTTCTGACAAAGCCCAGGCCAATTCAGGTCAAACGCAGCCGACATCTGGATCAAACTGATCGCATGACCCGGGGCCTTGGATTCTAGGTCTAGCAGGGCAGGCAGGCTGGATGGGACTGGGTCCATTAGCCGGGAGGCCTGTGCTTCTTCCAAGAAGGAAGAAGAAATTTGCTGGCCCTGCTAGCGCAGCACCAGCAGGCAGCCCCATGACCCCCATCCCCCAGGGCTGCCAGGACACTGCCCTGCAGAGAGGGCAGGCTGGAGCACAGCCACCATTCAGCGTTCCCAACACAGACAGAACCTGCCTTAGATCCCATCACCCAAGACAGTGGCTTAGATTCCTGCAAACAAAGAGGAGAGGCTGGCTGGGCCCGAGGCCTGTAGACAAGACACAATTCATGACCGTTTGGTTTGAAAACAAAGATGCCAGGCTCTAAAAGATCCCTGGGCCCGTTTCGATGCCGAACCAGCCATGGGCTAGTCATGAAACTGGTCTGAAGGGACGTTTGGGGAAAGGAGGAAAAGCTCCACTTCACTGATGTGAGTCTTAAAGTGGTGCCACCCTGCCTGGCAAGTCTGGGACACCCAACCCACGGGTGAGACTCGCCCCACCTCGCAGGGGGAACTGTCAGGCAGGGTTTTAGAATGGCCCGTCTCAGCGGGACTCCAGAAACCAAGACCCAACCCTCATAATCAACAGGGTATGTCAGGCGAGGCTACTACACCCAACCCAGGAACACTCCTGCTAACTATGGAGATCTAGATCAGGTAGTGCACGCAATCTGCCACTAGCCCTGAGCCACACATGGCTCGTGCTATGCCCTACAGGCAGATCCCAGAATTAAATAGCAGCTGCAAGAGATTGCCTTGTCTTCAAATCGATTTGTGCCCACCTGGCAGGATTGCTGGGAAGGAAAAGTCCCGGGGAGTTTTGCCAGTAGCTGCAGGAGTCATCTTGCAAATCAGAGGGAAGTGTTCTGGGAGAGGATAAGACGCTGGGAAGTACACACATACCATTTAAAATGATCCAATTGAGACAATGCATCTGACAAGTGAAAAGCTGAGTTCCCGCAACGGCTGTGATGAAGGGACACAGGGGAGCGGGCTCGCCTGTGGTTTCATTTAAATGCGTGGACAGTGTGGATTCTCTTGTACAAACACACTCACACACATGCTCGCATCTCCTCACCACCATGTGCTGAGTGTCCACCCACGTCAAAAGAATGCAATATGAACGCAGGAGTCCCTCCTAGCAGAATCAAGACGTGCTGCCAGGATGACCCAAAAGGAAGAGAGACCCAGGGGAATCCACAATCCTAGTCAACATTCCTGGCTCCAGTTAAAAAAACAAAAAAAGAAAACAAAAGGAACACACAGACACACACACAGAGGGCAGCTCATTACACATCGGAGAGAGAGAAGTTCTCCTCTTCCTGGGGTTTGCAGATCCAGCTCCCATAGCTCATCTCCTCCAGCGCCCTGAAGAAGTGCTGCTTGGCTCCCTGGTAGGCCGAGGCTGCCTCCTTGGCATCTGAGTACAGCGCGGCGCTCTGCAGGTCTTTGCGGTCAGCCTTGGCACAGAGCTGCTGGAACAGGGTGAACATGCTCCTCTTGGACACGCGGGACACCTCCAGCTTTGGTCTGGAAAGGAGAAGAACACGAACAGAATGAGAACCCCAGAGAATGGAGGTGGGCCATGGGGGCAAACAGCAGCTAGGGATGTAGGACGTGGTCCTGCAATTGGATCCACGTGGGCAGAGCCCAGTGCTTGGACAGAGTCTCATGGCAGGATCAGGGCTGTAAACCGAACCTGTGGGCAACAACGAGCAAAGCGATGCAGCAATCAGGATCTCAAGGTGCTACACACACAGCAGCTACGCCTTGAAGCCCGCTGGAGGCCTCGCTGGCAGGACTGCTCCATGCGTGGGAGCGATTGGAGCAGTGTGCCCAGCGAGTGAGAACAGCGGGCGGATATTCTGTTCTGATTGACATGAATCCCCGTTTTAGCTGGGGTTGGGGCTCCGGTCCCCCAAGTCCTCCCACACACCAGGGCACACAGCATGACAGCACGGAACTGCCCCTTCACAAGCTCCCCTAATGCCAGCTTCAAAGCTCTTTGCTCACCCGTCTACTTTGCCTTTTGTGCCATCCAGGACTTCCACCTCGCTTTCGTCGGCAAGACACCAGTTCACGCTCGACTCCTTGGTCTTGCCCGTCTGCCTGGCGGAGTCGTACACGCTAACTCTCCCCACCTAGATGGCCAGAAGGAGACAAGAGGGTTGGCTCAGCAGAGTGGGGCACATACACCCAGCTGGGAGGGGTGTGTGGTTCTCAGAACTGGTAGACAGGTAATGCAGCCGTGGCCCCCACTAGCGACCTGCCAGCTGGAGTGCCCAGCAATTGCTTTGCATTCTAGCTTGCCCCACCAGCAAAGCATTTATTATGTTTCTTAATCTCAGCTACGCCATGCACACCCAATTCAAAGACCGCCCCGCGACAGCCCCTGGAGAGAGACGGCTCACTGGGGCTCTGGTTAGATCTGGCATGCATGGAATCTGGAGAGTTTCCTGAGTCTTGCCCAGGCACCATCGTATGCACAAAGGGCTCATTAACCACTCACACCTGGCCAGATGTGGCAGTGGGCTGAAAGACAGGGAAACACAGAACCAGCCACTACGATTTCTCTGTCCTGAACCCAGTCTCTGGTCCGACAAATACCAGAAAGAACTTAAACTTTCCTGCTACAGCTGGAAGGTGGCAGGGTCACTGAGCATGAACCTTCCGGCAGGAAGTCTACCGAGCCCCACTAATACAGAATGCACCAGTGCAGATGGCTGGACCCTTGTGCTGAGAGGAGAGAATGGAAACGTTAAGACCTGCCAAGCCTACAGTACCTCAGGATGTTTAACATGATACGGAGCCTGGAGACCTGCTTCAAATGTGCTCCCATCTCTCGACATGCGGCAGCAGATTGCACGTGTCAGGTGACCCTGGCTGTATAGGTAACCTGGGAAAAGACACATGCAGGCATTAGGAAACAGAGCAGCTGCATTGTTAATGGGCAGGCAGAAATCTAAGAAGATACACCGCTCAGCTCAGAAAGCCGGAAGCCGATAAGGATCAGGAAAGCAATTTTCCTATCACTAGACACTTCCTTGGTCATTAACGCGTGTGACGCAGCAGGGAGGGGGGAGTGTTGACCTGGGAATGTGGCAGGGGAGTTTCACTGGGGATGGGAGACCTGAGAGCCTGTAACCTGAGCCAGGAGGGGGATGCCACATTCCCTGGTCAACACTCCCCCCACGCTGCGTCACAACACGTGAAGGGTTCAGTTTTACAGATTGCAACATTTGTGGCCATAAA